TTATAATCTAAAATCTAACCCAAAAATTTACATCCAATGGTTATGATTTTGCCACATACCCCCATTTTATTTACTTTTTAATTAACTTTTTTTTTGTTATTCATGCAATTAACTCTTTTTAAAAATATATTCTATAAAACAAATTATGTTGATTATACCAAAGATTGTCTCTCATGTGTACCCATGTTTATTCAAATGCTCCACCATAAGTATTGGTAATGATGCACCCACGAATAACCCTTGTAAATGTTTATGTTTATTCATTTAATTTGGGTGAAATTATAATACATCAAGATGAACAATTTGTTTTCTTATTAACCTAATCAATGCATATGTTATCTGTTCTCATATATAAAAAAAAATTTTTGGTCAGAAGTAAAATACAGCGTCAGAACCAGTGTTTGGTACAAAAAAGTGTGCAAGCAATAGCGCTACAGATTAAAGAAGACCAAGCCGCTTTCTATAAGTTTGGATTCTATGGTGCTCAAGACACGCTCCTAGATGTTGATGGAAGATATTTCTTCAAAGGTTGCTTTATCCAAGGGTTAGTAGATTTCATATATGGCAATGGAAGATTACTCACCATGTAACATGAGAGAATTTCAAAATGTGACATAACAACTTGAATTTGCATACAAGATTGTACGATAAGCAAGGAAAAAATAACGGTTAGTAAGAACAAAATAAACATATAATACAAGGAAAATGATTTCAAAACACTTATTGAATGGAATGACACCGCAAATCATCAAAAGCATTGTCAATTTTGTCGTCTTTTCAGCTAACTTTATAGCCTACAACATCAGCTTCAAAGTAGAAATCATAGTAAATCTAATTTTTGAAGCCACTCTTCATCACGAACACAAACTTGTACCTTGTTTTTTCTTTGAACCAGTTGAGATACCTTATAGCTTTTGTTTATTGTTCTCACATTACAGTTTTTCTTAATAAAAAAGAGAAAAAAATTATGCAAAAAATAAGAAAAAAATGAGCAAAACATAAGTAAAACAATAAAAAAATGTTTGGACAAACATGATCCATTTTATTTATGTAGATTTGCTACTCATTTTGAAATCAACAATCTCATAGATACAACTGAATGAGGGAACTAACTAAGCAAATTCAATTCGACTATATATATGGTTTTACTTGAAAATAAGATCGTATAGTCCTACATTCATAGCAAATAATGAAAAACACATGCATGTGAGAATTTCAAAATATGATGCCAACTTCAAATTAAATGCAAAAATGTACGATCAGGTCCATTGCAAAAGAGACAACCTCTAGGATTAGTGGATGTATCAGTGCTCATGAAAGGGAATCAAAAGGTGAGAAAACAAGCAGTTCATTCGTCAACCGCATGCAATATGGAACCGGGAAGGTGTGGTTGAGACAAGCATGGAAACCCTACGCTATTGTTGTGTTCTCCAACACGTACATGTCTCAAATAATCTCTTCATAAAGAAGGATATTAGAAATCCAACTAGTGACAAGTAAGTTCACTCAAACTCTTCTCATATAGGCATAAAGATCTCAAGGTATACCCTAAGTGGTTCATGTTTCCGAAAGGTGTATTTTGGAGAACATAAATCATAAGGAGAAGGAGAAAATTACAAATGGAAGCTACGGGGAAGGAGCAGAGTACAAAGACAGAGTTTCATACAGTAAACAACTAACCGACTCTGAAGCAGCTTCATTCACGAGCATCTCTTACATAGATGGAGACAAGTGGCTTAATCAAACTGACCTACCTCTCCACGGTTAACTTTGAAGAGCACAAAGAAGATATTATCAGTTCTTACTGATGTATGTAAGCATTCTAATGCAGCTACCTAGTCCGAAACAATGCATAGACATATGATCTGACTCTCTTATAGTACATCTGTTGTTTACATAACAAAATTCATGTGCTATTAACAGCTCCCTTGAAGAATCTCATGATTTACAGAACTTACACCCCATCATAGATAGCTACCAGTGAATGATCCTTTTTCCATACACAGTCGTATGTATGTATGTACCAATGAATGATCCTTTTCCAAAATCTTAACCTTTGAAGCACACTGAAACACCCAAAAAACATGATCGAAAAGCATTATTCTACCTGGAGCCAAACACAAGTAGAAAGTCTTACTCTTGTTGAAGCGCCACCTAAAACATGACCCATTTATAATATTCCCAATGTCTCCTATAAGGTCAGCTCCAATATTCCAAGCAAGTGTGGCTTAGGAAAATGAGCTATACATGTCAAACCCTTCGACAAAAATGAGT